TCACACACATATATATATATATATAATTTTTATAATAGAAGTACTATAGAATTCTAGCAATATATTTACACATATACCTCGCATACTCGTCAAATAAAACAATATCTATTTTAATTTATTACTATTATTACCCGTATATACATATGTATATTCACGCCTTATCTGCGTTAATAAACTATATAAAACAAAGGAGCACGAAAGAATTAAGGAAGGAGTTATGGAGGTCGCCTTATCTTTCTTTCCTGCTTCTTTTCTTTTCCAGCAAGGAGGATACTTCTCCAAAACTGCAAATTGCAGCGTATCACATTACAATCACACTATGCCTAGCGTAGGCACAAACAGACATAGTTTAAGTAAAGATGTAAATATACATATACCGTATAAGCTAATCTACTATAGCGTTGCATCGAAATGCAATTATCGATATTAACAAAGAAGGACGAGAGAAAAAGAAGGCAAGGTTTGAAGCACATCTTCTTTGCTCCTTCAGTGAAGGAATGCACATTTAAGAGAAAAAAAGGGGTAATGCTAAACCTTGAATGCGTATTCCTTAAGCGTAAGAACTGTCGAAAGAAAAGAGTCCACATTTATGATCTGCAAATGTTGCGTCAGCATGCCCCAACATTTGTCTGAGGCTGGGGGTGTTACGTCCGACGTAACAAATTCAACCCGTAATAATTTGTGAATGAAACTGAGTTTCAATTTATCAATATGCTATAAGGAGGATCGATGATAAACGTTAATATCATAATTCAAAAATCTTTTCAAATGAGCGGGAATGAAGTTTTCCGTGAAGCAAGTTCTTAACAGAAAAATTTGTACTCTCAATTTCACATTTATGTTCATTAATTTTATGCATTTCTTTAACAAAAAACAAGTTCTTGAACCAAAAGTTAATAAAATTAAAGAACGGCAAGTTATAACACATGTTAATGCTCGTGTAAAAATAAACGTAAAATTATTAGAAAGTGGCTAAACAATTACAAAATATAAATAATAAAGAGCATACAGCCACAACAATAGATGTAAAAGTAAGTCATATATTTAAAATTTACAAATGAATGAATAAGTAGACGTTTCGATCAAGATTTGACCATCATCAGTACATAAAAGACAAATAATAAAAATATTACAAACAAGAAACAATTAACAGTAGTCGGAAGGTGTTATAGTAAAATTAAATTTAAATTACATAAAAATTATTGAAAAGAAATACATAAAAATACAAGCGCAAAATTCGCAAATTAAAATAAGGTGAAATAATATTTTCTCTTCGCTTGTGGTAAGAGTTGAACAGCATGAATATAAATCAAGAGAGATGAGTAGTATTTTAATAATATTTTAATCTTCTGATACAATGCTCTGTTACAATTCCTGTTATCTTAAAGAGCGAAGCGTAACTTCGTGTAAAAATACGGAATTTCCCAGTTCTAAACTCTCGCCTATTATTGTAATGGCGGTGCCAAAGATAGCGTGAGATTTTATACAGCAAATATAGAAGTATATAAAAACGTGTGTCCTGCCTATTTTAATTGTTTGCGATGACTTTTCCTCAGCGTGCAAACATTACATTGCCGACAAGGATAATTGATGGTCGTTGTAAAGTACAAGAACGTCGTAGTGAAGGAATTCAGTGTGTGGAACGAAAATAACAAAGTCGTTCGCAGTCACAGGGACATTGAGTAACAAAATATCGACAACGGATTTATTAAAACTTCAGAAAGAACTGGAGGAACGAGAAAGAGTGTTAGCAGAAAAGGTGAAGCAATAAGAGCATCAGAGAATCCAGTTGGCAATGAAGAATCAACAACTAGCAAAAGTGAGAGCGGAATTTGAGGCGGCTAGAAGAGAAGAACCACAAGGTGCCGGTACCATTGTAAAAGGGACCGTTGACAATATGTCCGAGTTTTCGTTGAAAGAGAATTGGACGAGATGGTTCGAAAGATAAACGCACTACTTCGCAGGTGACGATGTGCCGAAAGAAAAACAAGTATCGCTTTTTATTATGTTAATGGGAAGTGAAGGTTATGAAATTCTCTGCAACTTATGCACACCGGAAAAGCCGGCAAATCTCACATTGGAATGTCTTGTGGAAATTATGCAAAAGCACCTGCAACCGCAGCCACGTGTGATATCGCAGCGTTATAAATTCAAAGAATGCAAGCAGATGGAGGGAGAGGACATTAAGACCTAGCCAAGCTAAAAAAATTATCAACACATTGCCACTTTGAGGAACAGTTGGAGATCCACATTCGAGAGTTTGTATGGGCTTTTTTTTTTTTTTTTTTTTTTTTTTTTTTTTTTTTTTTTTTTTTTT